GAACAAGGCTTGTCGAACCTGGCGGAACGTTACCGTTTAATGGGCGAAGACACGATTGTCATCAGTTCCGACAACCAGTTTTTTACGGTGCGGATTAAAATTCTGGAAAAATGAAAGTAGTTATTATTGAAGATGAGCGGCTCACGGCAGAAGACCTGCAACAAACGATCCGGCAGGCAGATGCAACGGTGGAGATTGTAGCCACCTTAAAATCTGTAAGTGAAGGGCTCACCTGGTTTCGGGCCAACCCGATGCCAGACCTCTTATTCAGCGATATTCAGTTGGGCGACGGACTTAGCTTTGAGATCCTGGGCAACCTGCAGGTGCCGGTCATCTTTTGCACAGCGTATGATGAGTATGCGCTGAATGCGTTTAAAGCCAACGGCATAGATTATATCCTGAAGCCATTTACCCTGACATCAGTTAGTGCTGCCTTACAGAAATTTAAAAACCTGACCCAGGTAAAAAATGATGAAATAACGCGGCAATATGAATTAATCAGTCGGCTGTTCTCTGATGCACGGACCACAAAAGTTTCCTCTCTGCTTATTCACTATAAAGACACCATCCTACCCATAAAGATAGATGACATTGCCTTGTTTCGCCTGGAACATGAGCTGGTTTATTTGCTGACCTTCGACCAGGCAACCTATTATCCGGGAAAGAGCCTTGATGAGCTGGAGGATGTGGTAGGATCGGATTTTTTTCGCGTCAACCGGCAATACCTGGTCAACCGAAAAGCGATTATCAATGCGTCCAGCCTGTTTTCCCGTAAGTTATCCCTGAGTGTTTCAGTGCCGGTAAAGGATAGCATTACCATCAGTAAAGAGAAGGCGCCGATGTTCCTTAAATGGTTGTCTGGAGCGGCTTTGTAGACCGCGTCTTATCTGCAGATTTCTGGTAAACTTAAAAGAGCTACAGCAATTGCTGTAGCTTTTTTGTATGCCTGTTTATCGCGCTGACGCCTCAATCCTCATTTTGCCCGCTTCGCGTTAAAACCGGTAGACCAGGCGATGATCAATCTGCACTTTTGATTTTTCAATAGTAACCGTCAGGCTACTGAGATGCACTTATATGCTGAAAATGAACAGATCGATTTTAATCTTGCTGCTGGTAGTTGCGCCACTATTGCTACC